TGTTGAGTTGCTTGCCTTAGATGGAACTATTCACCAAACTTCGTGTACAGATACTCCTGAGCAAAATGGTGTTGCTGAAAGAAAATATAGGCACATTGTTGAAATTGCTCGTTCTCTCTTGTTGTCTTCTTTTGTTCCTAGTGAGTTTTTGGGTGAAGTTGTTCTTATTGCTGTAGGTTTGATTAATACAATTTCATCTTCTCATATTTCAGTGTTTCTCCTTTCGAAAAGTTGTATGGGTATGCCCCTGATTATTCTTCATTTAGAGTTTTTGGTTGTACTTGTTTCGTTCTTCGTCCTCATGTTGAACACAACAAGTTGTCCTCTCGATCTGCTATTTGTGTCTTTCTTGAATATGGTGAAGGTAAAAAGGGGTATCGTTATTTTGATCCAATAACTCAAAAATTTTATGTGTTTCATCATGTTATTTTTCTTGAGCATATACTTTTCTTTTCTATTTCATCCACTACTTATAGCTTGACTAGATCTGATCTTATTCGTATAGATCCTTTTTATGAGGATTCTAATAGTTTATCATCTCAGGTTTCTAATACTTCAAATAGCAGCACTGATCATTTTACAGGTACTGACACTTTACTCTCTAGCACACCTGAAGTTACCTCCTCTCCTATGGTCCCTCAAGCTTCGTCTAAGATTATGTATCCACCTCTACATCAATCCACAAGCATTTGTAAGTCCACAAAGTTACCAGATTTTACTTATTCTTGTTATTCTTCATCTTTTACTTCTTTTTTAGCTTCTATTCATTGTCTCTCTGAGCTCTTTTCCTATAAAGAGGCAATTCTTGACCCTCTTTGGCAGCAAGCTATGGATGAGGAACTTTCTGCTTTGCATAAGACAAGTACTTGAGATTTAGTTTCTCTACCTCCTGGTAAGAGTGTTGTTGGTTGTCGGTGGGTGTATAAAATTAAGACCAATTCTGATCGATCTGTTGAGCGATACAAAACTAGGTTAGTTGCAAAAGGGTACTCTCAACAGTATAGTATAGATTATGAGGAGACACTTGCTCCTGTTGCAAAAAATGACTACTATTCGTACTCTTATTGCAGTTGCTTCGGTTCGTCAGTAGCATATCTCTCAACTTGATGTTAAAAATGCCTTCTTGAATGGGGTTCTTCAAGAAGAAGTTTATATGGCTCCCCCTCTTGGTGTTTCACATGATTCTAGGTATGTTTGCAAGCTCAAGAAAGCGTTATGTGGTCTCAAACAAGTACCTCGTGCTTGGTTTGAGAAATTTTCTGTTGTGATCTCTTCCCTTAGGTTTACTTCTAGAAGTCATGATTCTGCTCTTTTTGTTAAGTGCACTGATGTAGGTTGTATCATTCTGTCTTTATATGTTGATGACATAATTATTACTGGTGATGATATTAATGGTATTTCAGTTTTGAAGACAGAGTTAGCTAGATAGTTTGAAATGAAGAATTTGAGTTCTCTACGATATTTCTTGGGTATTGAGGTAGCCTGCTCACCCAGAGGTTATCTTCTTTCTTAATCGAAATATATTGCAGATATTCTTGAGCGAGCAAGACTTACTGATAATAAGACTGTAGATACTCCCATTGAGGTTAACGCAAATTATTCTTCTTCTGATGGTTTACCTTTGTCAGATCCTACTTTATACCGTACTATTGTTGGGAGCTTGGTATATCTCATTATTACTCGTCCAGATATTGCATATGTTGTTCATGTTGTTAGTCAATTTGTTGCTTCTCTTACTACAGTTCATTGGGCAGCGGTTCTTCGTATTTTGAGATATCTTCGGGGTACAGTCTTTCAGAACCTTTTACTTCCATCCACCTTTTCCTTGGAGCTGTGTGCATACTCTAATGCTGATCATGACAGTGATCCCACAGATCACAAATCTGTTATTGGTTTCTGTATCTTTTTGGGTGATTTTCTTATTTCTTGGAAGAGAAAGAAACAATCTATTGTTTCTCAATCTTCAACCGAAGTAGAATATCGTGCTATGACATCTACTACCAAAGAGATTGTTTGGTTACGTTGGTTACTTGCAGATATGAGAGTTTCTCTTTCTCATCCCACTCCTATGTATTGTGCAACCGGAGTTCTATTCAGAATGCTCACAACTCGATTTTTCATGTACGGACTAAGCACATTGAGATCAATTGTTATCTTACTCATCATCATCTCAAGCATGGCACAATTACTTACCCTTTGTTTCTTCTTCTTTGCAGATTACAGATTTCTTTATCAAGTCGCATTCTATTTCCCGTTTTCGTTTTCTAGTTGACAAACTCTCGATGCTTGTCGCTGCTGCATCATGAGTTTGAGGGGAGATGTTAAGAAATATAGGATTATTTTGTTTATTAAGGGTAAAATAGTCCTTTACTTTTTCTGCCTTATTTAGCTTATATATAGTCTCTTTGTATTTAGGTTAAATTACTTCTTTGTATTTTAATTCAATTATGCAGTATCAATAAAATCCTAGCCTTCTCTTTTCTTATCTCTTGTATTTCTTTAGATCATTCAACATGATCGATCCACAGGGTCCTCATGCCTTACTCATTAGTGCTTTGGTGGTAGTATGGTAACGCGCTACTCTAAAGTGGTCTGTAGCTATGAGTAACCGAACATTCCACATTGGGGGAGACTCTCATGGTCACTACCTGTTGGTCGCCAGTCTCCCCATCTTCGTGACCAAAAAAAAACCTCAAATCGAAGGAACTTCCTATTAAAAGTATATTTAGTTGATCTATAACTATCTTCACGTTCATATTCTTGCACATAGGCCAAAGTTGTCATGTACTGTTGTGATCTACAAACATATACTTATTTTTTCTTACATCAGTAGAGTGCACATAATATCTAAACCTTGGAATTAAATAGGCCCACCAGAATTCATTTTTCCATTTTAAAGTCTTGGTGTATTAGATAAGTTCGGACTCAATCGAGTAATTTCTAGATCATTTTTTAAAAAAACTTAGAGTAGCCCACAATCATGTTTAGACATGAAATCAAATTTATAACAACTAGCTAGACTCAAACCAAAATCATAGACTAGGGTAGTTGATAACTTGATATATCGTGTGGACTCTCATAACGTTCTTGCAACTATACATATTTCAAAAGAATTCCAATCCAGAAGGATGTTAACATGATCATTCATCTAAATGTGCAATGACCTGACAAGTAATATATGTGGGATGAATTGATGGAGATGTCAAAAGACGAATATATAAATAATCAACGAATTAATGTTTATGTAACTTCTATTACGCGCTTAGTGATTATCCAATCTATAATCCCAGAGTTTATGTAGCTTAAATATGTTATAATGAAATTAATCTCAAACCTATGTAGTGGTTACTCTATATAATTCAGAATAACATCAACAGTCACCATTTCCTAAGAGTTAAACCCCCACTGTTTTCACATTTATTTTTCTTGTTTTTTGTTTATCTCCAACGAAAAAGACGAACGGTCTTAAAATTGTTGGATCAAGATTTAAATATAATTAGAAATAAACATCAATTCAATAGATTATGTAAATATGAAAGTGAGAGAATTGTCGCACTAACCTCAAACATTGTTCAATTAGAGATAACAGTAGATTTCATACTGCAAATAAAACACTTACCTTGGGTTGAGGCACAAATTAAATCGATTTTTGGATAAAATGTTTGGTGTAGTAGGTCACAACGTGACGGATATAATAGCACAACTACTCCTTGTAACTTTTGTACATCTATACAATCTTGAAAAGTAGGAACTTCACACACATTTTTTTGCCCCAAAAACATTACATCATATATACCACAAAAAAAGAAGGCGGCATAAGAACTTCAAATTTTGTCACCCACATAATAGAACATATATATAGGTGTATGAAATATATAACTTATTGTCCAAAATAATTGACCCGTTAACTCATATTATAAAACTCAATTATTTTTGTTTTGATAATTTATTGACCAAATTTAATATAATGCTCACCAAATTATTCTCACAATGAATATAACATTGGCAACTTATGGACCACTAAATTTCACTATTATAATTCTCATTAGATAGATACTAATGTTAAACTTGTAACTCGTGTGGCTTATAAAGATATAAATAAATTTGTATAATCAAATTAAAATGAAGATACAAATAAAAGTGAAATTATTGCAATATAAATCAGATAAATAATAAATACTACTTTGGGGATCACTTATAAATTTTGGGAGTCATTTACAACTTTTAGAGTTGTTTGGGATACAAGTAACTCCAAAAATTATATATATATATATATATATATATATATATATATATATATATATACTAGTCACTATCATAACTCGTATAATATAAGATAAGATAAGATAATGTAACTCGTATAGTATAACTCGTATATATACTAGTCACTATCAATACTACTTTGGGGATCACTTATAAATTTTGGGAGTCATTTACAACTTTTAGAGTTGTTTGGGATACAAGTAACTCCAAAAATTATATATATATATATATATATATATATATATATATATATACTAGTCATTATCATAACTCGTATAGTATAAGATAAGATAATGTAAGAGGACCTGCCTGAAGCCATTCAAATCTATTGCAATTTAGGTATTTAAGTCAAAGTGCTTTGTACGTGGCAAAGTCATGGCCGTTCGATTCATCCTTAATTAAGATAGGATAAGATTACGTTCAGAATAAACGTAACAAACGATACATCCCCCTTGGACATAATGAAGAGCAGTTCCGTTATGTAGAATTTGATCATAATCCATATATAAAGACGAAGCGCATGCATAATAGACAAATGAATGAGTATCTGCCACTTCGACACCTCGAAGATAACGTTTGATAGTTGATAACTGACTAGGGCGAACGTGGGCCTCATAAGCCAACGTTTTATACTGGATCTCTCTCTCCGCTTTCTTATTACTGTAAATAGAGAGAAATTTGAAGTGGATTTTTGGATCTGAGTTTGTAATTGTAGGTTAAGAGAGAGAGAGAGAGAGATGGCTGGTACAGATGTGGTGGTGGTACAACATGGATCTGTTGATGCTGAGAAGGAGGTTGTGAATCATGGGTGCTGCAAGAAGGGACCTGGGTTTGCTACCCCACTTGATGCCATGTCTGGTCCCAAGGAGCCTCTCATTTATGTCACTTGCGTTTACTCAGGTACTCTTTCCATGCCCTCTCTCACTCTCTCACTCACACACAGAAAATTGTGGATGATCAACTCAATTCATTTCTCTTTGATTAGAGTACTTAGTGTATTTTCTTTGATTCAAATTTAGTTCCTGGTCTGATCAAAAATAAATAAATAAATAGTACCTGATTGAACTCCTCAGAGATTGACGTATTTCTTTTGTATATGCGAAATGACAATTTTTTCTTTTTAATTTTAGTAGCAGATGCACATAGATAATATGAAATTATAATTTGTACGGGGTAAAAATTGAGGATACCTCGTTCTGATAAGAGTGAGCGCCGAACTTGATCGCCCAGTCTTTTGCTTCCGGTAAAACGTCCAACATCGAAGTGTTTCGATCGAAAACACTTCGATACTTAATTCACTAAAGCAACTAAGACAATTATCAGAATACAATGAGAGTTGAGAGTACCTTTTGCTTTTTAAAGACCCCTTTGTTTTTTATAGACCTCTTTTCAGTTAAGGCACATATTCCTTTCCTCTTCCTATGCCATTATTCTTCAACTTGTTTCGTTTTGTTGCTAGCCCGCTTCCAAATAGTTCACACGAATACATAATTCTTCGCAAAAAAGACTTAAAGAAGTAGTTGCATATTTGTGCTCCCTTCATCTTCTCCTTTCTTGATTTACTAAATTCACACCAGCACATATCTTGAGTTTTGGTTTGAGAGTTGGATTATATAATCTCTAGACGTGGTTTTGAAGAACTGGTGACCTCTCAAGTGTTGGATGCACATTCACCCCTATATTGTATCCAATCAACATTAAATATCAAAAAAGAAAATAAATTTTTTTTCTTGCCTTCTTGCAATGAGTTACAACCTGACTTCTTATGGCATCATAAAATCATCCTTTATATGAACTTACCCCTTTTCAGCTTTCTCATCTCATTTTTGTACTTCCCAAATCAAAGGGCTTGAACTTTGATTTTCCCAGTACTCAACTCCCATTGCACAATATGTAGCCTAATGTTGCACTGATCTTTATATTTAAACAGGATTCAAATATAGAAAAATCTGTGTAGAAAACAAACAATCACATATTATGGAAATCAATATATGGATTCAAGAATAGATAATGAGCAATACATGAGCATAATTTTGGCAATTGAATAGTACATGAGTTAGAATGGAAAACAAGAGGATGAAACCTGGGAATGGGCAAAACTATTTATGAAAAGAAAGGGCTTAGACAAATGAACTTTTTTTTTTTTTTGATCTCTACTCAAATGAACTTGAATGTGATAATTTAGGGAAAAAAATAAATAAAAACGTGTGTCACACAAGCAAAAAGAGAAAACTCAAGAGAAGATACGGAGAAGGCTGAGATAAAAACCCAAAATTGCCATGACTATTGAGAATAAAAACCAGGGAAGTTAAACCACCAGTAAGAAACCTGTTTATTCAGTGTTTGGCTTTTGTTCTTCCATATGATAACTCATGTATTAACTTCAATCTAATATTTATTCATATTCATTGAATTTGAAGAGTTTAACCTTTGGTATCAATTGTTTGTTTGGATGAAGCTTCTGTATCAGTTAAGCCCATCTGTATTCTTGAGTTTGGTTCAACATACAAAACATCACTTGCATATTGAACATTCAGTTCTAGAATTTGTAAACATCATGGGAGTTTTTCCATTGTCTCTAAGGGACTGTGAAAGGAATATGAAAGTTATGAAATATTAACTCATGTATTAAATGCAAATATTTTACAGTAACTATTTAATTAAAGATGAAATTGATATTAGAGAATCAATCAAGGGTATTTGGAAAACAATTTTTTTTCCAATTGGCGTAATTTTATGAGTAGAATAAATATAGATAGAGATATGCTTGCTTTCTTGATTTGTGAGAACTGAGAAGGGTAAGGTGTGGCCGATACCCTGACATATCATCATGGCGAGGATGATGGATGTGGATCCTCTAAATTTCATTTTTCGTCAATTAAGGTTAAGTTTTACATAGCTTGATGTTTGAATGAGAGAGATAAAATAGGTACTTTAACTCTTTGCATGTTGGCCTAGTGGCCACTGGCCTGGACTTTAACATCGGTGGTTCAAACCTTGTCACTCACCTCCCTGTAATGATAAAAAAATAAAAATAAATTAAACTTAAAGATATAAAAAAAATATAATTTTTCATAAGAAGAATCAGATTGCAATAGATTGAAGCGGATTACATTTTTTCAAGTTTGCAATTATTATAATTTGGTTCTCTCAATTGTCATTTTTGTAATTGGCAGTCCTATTGGTAGTTTCTGATATTCATAGTTATTTCTTATTCCCTATTACTGTTTTTAATGATTCAATGTTTTGCTATAAATCTGTGTTACTGTTACACTAAAAAAAAATCTGTGTTACACTAATATGACAATTTTCATTTCATCTTTTCGTGAGTAAGAAATTATTATTGACAGAACATATATTTATATGGTATAAATTTCTGGTTTATTATGCATTTTGAAGTATTTGTAATATTTACAAAATATATTGACATGAAACTGATATTATTTACCAATAATTGGAGGGGATCACTGGAAATCTTGAGTGAAAATGTGCCAAAAATGCCACCTTAGAGAGGTCTTTACAGAGCAAGTGAGGTCTTCAATGGTTAGCAATTCACCCACTTTTCTTTCTAGTTATAAAATGAAACTTTGTAAACTTCTGTTGGTCATTAGCTTATTTGATCCATAGGGATGTTTGATGTTCCTTTGTATCATTAGATTTGCGAAGGCAAATACATAATTTGTCTCCGAGTCATTTTAAAGTCAATAGAAGAGAAGAGAATGCATGAGGTCAAAGACTCGTTAATGGAGCTTGAAGCCTTAAATCCTTAATGTATTTTTGGTAACTTCACCCCAAGCCTCTACTTTTCCTTCTAAACTTTCAATATTAATGTGAAACCCTGAGCCATTACTAAACAATCACATTTCCTTTTAAATGAACCACTACAATCTTGGACTGTTTTTATTCTAGTTTCGTTAGTTTGTTATTTGTTCACCTAATTTGTGTCACTTGCTGATGGTTAGAGGTGTAGTTTGTGAGTTCAATTCAATGGTGAAGTACTTTCACTCGAAAGTTCAAATGAGGAAAATAGCCTGGTTTGGCCAAGCAATGAATCTTGCGACTGTTTTAGGCTTCCCATTGGCATTCTTCCTTTTTCAATGTCTTGACATTTGTCCTGTTTATATTTTATGCAGGAACAGGAACACAGAAGCCCGACTACCTTGCGACAGTGGACGTAGATCCAAGCTCACAAACTTATTCGAAAGTTATCCACAGGCTGCCTATGCCCCATATAGGTGATGAATTACATCATTCGGGGTGGAATGCCTGCAGTTCTTGCTATGGAGATACATCAGCTGTCCGCCGTTATCTTGTCTTGCCTTCTCTAATGTAAGATATAAAATCCGTGTTTCTTTAAAACCCGAGCCTTTGAGGCTTGCTATTGACCTGGGTGTAATACAACTAGTAAAAACAAACTTTTAATGTCTGACTATGTTTTGAAATTCTGATCTGTTTGTTGGTACTCGTCTAACACTGGTGTGTTGTGTCCATTCTCACCTCCTTAACAAATTTCGGTACAATAATTTCTTCAGTGTGTCTAGTCAAGAGAGGCAACACTAGTTTCTACCAAATCATCATGGATGATTTATAAGGCTTTAAGTGGCCAATTACAATTTCATTGCTAAAGAATTGCACCGACCAGTGAATTAACAATATTGATGCGACTTAGAAAAGTAGAGCACAAAGGCAATGAACAATGTCATACGATGTCTATAAACTTTTCAAAACTTCATTTCCCTTTGGATTTGTTCTAGAATTCTATCATAGTTGTGAAGAATTTTTTTTTTTATAATTAATGGTAACTCGATATCAGAAGCTTTTATCAATTGTGGTTGCTGTTATTTGTTCTTTGATATGTTGATTCTACATGATCAATTTTTCCCATTAAATGCAATATAAACAATGTGGAATAGATTACTGTCATGATGTCAACTATCATGCTATACGCTTGCATTCGATTTATCACTGTAAACAAACATCTAATCTGGGCGGTTCATCTACTTGACTGACAATAATGCATGCTAAGCACCAAAACCTCTGTTAATTCTTTCAGATCTGGGCGGATATATGCAATTGATACACAAAAGAATCCAAGGGCTCCCAGTTTGCATAAGGTTGTTGAGCCTGAAGATATCATAAGCAAGACTGGATTAGCATATCCACACACGGCTCACTGCCTTGCGTCCGGTGATATTATGGTGTCATGCCTTGGAGATAGAGATGGAAATGCTGAGGGGAATGGATTCCTTTTGCTTGACTCAGATTTTAATGTGAAAGGAAGGTACTTATGTTTGTGACTGTCTCAGTTGTCATATGCATTCACCTTGTTGGAGTTACTTTGCTTTTAATTTGTGGCTACTAAATTAATATGTCTAAAAATAATCCTTCTTTGCTCTTCTGGTTTGAACCAGTGCTCTATTTTCTCTCTCCCCTCCATAGCCACATCAAAAAGGTCGGTAGATGGCTTATCGTTTTTTATGCTTATTGACCTATATAAGCAAAGTTGCAAGTTTATGTTATGTTATGTCAACATAGAAGAACTATCACTGTATTCTTGATTAACTATGAATTGCAACGTGAAGGAGGTCTCTATTGGGAACAAACAAGTATTGACTGTGTGTTGGGTTCTTTTTCCTCCATACCAGAACCTCTATTAGTTTCCCAGTCAGATGAGATTTGAGCTCACTGCACTGTTTCACACACTACAATGTGTCACGCCATATATGATATATCAATTAGTGCTGCAACTTTTTGACTACCTTCACAAGTATAAAATTTGCCTAGAAATATCCAGCAAATGTTGTCATGAAACGTAGTTGTATGCAATATAAACTTTGCAACCAATATTTTCTATCCAAGTTTGAGCTTCTTTTGTACTTTTAGGTGGGAGAAACCAGGGCACAGTCCTCTTTTTGGCTATGACTACTGGTACCAACCCCGGCTCAAGACCATGATCAGCTCAACTTGGGGAGCCCCAGCTGCCTTTACCCAAGGTTTCAACCTTCAGCATGTTTCAGATGGACTTTATGGCCGACACTTGCATGTCTACAGCTGGCCAGATGGTGAATTAAAACAGACATTGGATCTTGGAAATACAGGACTTCTACCCTTAGAGGCGAGTATAAAAGACATCATTTATAGCCTCTTTCCTTGTGGTTTGAAAAGGGTAGACAGGTTTTGCTTAAATTTTATTTTGTAGAGCCATCCTATATGGTTGCTTCACTGTATTTGTTAATTGTCCTGATTTTGCAGATAAGGTTCCTCCATGATCCAACCAAAGATACCGGTTTTGTTGGGTGTGCGTTAACAAGCAACATGGTGCGTTTTTTCCAGACCCCAGAAGGCTCATGGAGCCATGAGGTAAGCATATTTAATCAATTCCCTGGTCTCAAGTGTCTATTAAAAGGTATTGTGACTTAATATCTTGTAATTCTTTTGTTGACTTTGCAGTTATCAATCTCAGTGAAGCCATTGAAGGTGCAGAACTGGATTCTTCCCGAAATGCCTGGCCTTATCACTGATTTTTTGATATCTCTTGATGACCGTTATCTGTACTTTTCGAATTGGCTTCATGGAGATGTCAGGCAGTATAATATTGAGGACCCTAAGAATCCTATCCTGACCGGCCAGTTATGGGTTGGAGGACTTGTTCGGAAAGGAAGTTCTGTGGTTGCTGAGGCTGAAGATGGTACAACATACCAAGTGGAAGTCCCAGAGATCCAGGTATGTTCCACCTCCAAATTGCGACAAGAAATTTGAGGCTCTTAAACTTAACACTTTTGAACTTTCAATTTTGTAACTGGACAAATAAAAAGGTTGATTGTATTTATGCCATCAACTTTGATGGGCAAGGGGGAGGGCAAGGGAGTAGGGGTGTGGCTTGGGCAAGTTGGGTTGGTTGAGGAGTCAACTTTGGCACAATCCTAGAAATGAAAACTCTCAACCCGAGCTCAACCCAACCCAATTCAAGGGCTCGTGTTAAAATAGAATTTTCTGTGCACAGTAGTTGGGAAAATGTACCATGGTAGCATGTGCAAGTGCCATGGTATTCATAGACGAGTCACTGTCAAAATGACAAATACCTTCAGCCAAATTATGCTATTAGTTTGGCTCAAGTGGGAAAATTTTGATATGCTCTGCTCTCCCAAAGATTGATGAACTTGTTGTCTTCTGTTTAGGGAAATCATTTGAGAGGAGGACCTCAGATGATACAGTTGAGTTTAGATGGGAAGAGGCTTTATGTTACAAACTCACTCTACAGCAAGTGGGACAACCAATTTTATGCTGAAATGGTGCAGAAAGGAGGCCACATGTTGCAGATTGATGTAGACACTGAGAAAGGTGGTCTTGCATTGAACTCAAGTTTTTTCGTGGATTTCGGAGCTGAACCTGATGGTCCATCCTTGGCTCATGAGATGAGATATCCTGGTGGTGACTGCACTTCAGACATTTGGATTTAAATCTCGAGTTTTTTCAGTAATAGGTGTCAGATGAGATTAGTCTTTCGTGGGTGAAATAATTGTACTTGTAAAACATAATACTGTAAATGTGATTCTGAGATTCCACTGTTTTAGCTTTTATCGAGTTTAATTTGGTTATAGCTAAAAATGAACAACCCAAATTGCATAATGAGACGTACCTGCGATTATGCTTTGTATCTGTCATGCTTCTTGTTCAATGATACATCAAATAGAAACAAACTAGGTCTTACAGCGAGATCACTGTAGATTGTCTTTTTCTTTCTCTCTTCTATAGAAATAGGGGATGATACATGGGACCATTTAGTTAACGAGATGAAGGCTAAACCCATATTTTGTAACTTCTTATCGATTTCATGTCGATTTAGTAGATCGCATTAAGAATTGCTTACCCTACTTGATGAAGTGATGCAGCCAATACAGGTTTATTTCATGAACTAGCTGCAGCAACAGCAAGTTTTTATTCATTTTACTGGTTTTATAAATACTTTTCCAGATGGAAGTACGTTCAATATAGTATTAGGAATGAGGATTGAAAAAAAGAACTCTTGGGTTCCACCTTAAAAACAGTCTTGGCCCGCCTGAATAGTAGTTATATTTCCTTGTACACTTTCTAAATTAAACTCACCTATTTTGCGGGTCAAGGAATCCACGTTGAAGTACTATTGAAGCAAAAGATATTTTTATCCTTGAGAAGCAAAAGACATGGATATGGATTGGACTTACTTAAAAGTTCTTTGACAATTTTAATGGTTATATCATTATTCAATACCATATTCAAACAAAATATTGTATGAGATAAGTCTGAAAGAACCATGGGATAAAGAGACATGAATTTTAATTTTTTTTTTTTTTNTTTTTGATATCTCTTGATGACCGTTATCTGTACTTTTCGAATTGGCTTCATGGAGATGTCAGGCAGTATAATATTGAGGACCCTAAGAATCCTATCCTGACCGGCCAGTTATGGGTTGGAGGACTTGTTCGGAAAGGAAGTTCTGTGGTTGCTGAGGCTGAAGATGGTACAACATACCAAGTGGAAGTCCCAGAGATCCAGGTATGTTCCACCTCCAAATTGCGACAAGAAATTTGAGGCTCTTAAACTTAACACTTTTGAACTTTCAATTTTGTAACTGGACAAATAAAAAGGTTGATTGTATTTATGCCATCAACTTTGATGGGCAAGGGGGAGGGCAAGGGAGTAGGGGTGTGGCTTGGGCAAGTTGGGTTGGTTGAGGAGTCAACTTTGGCACAATCCTAGAAATGAAAACTCTCAACCCGAGCTCAACCCAACCCAATTCAAGGGCTCGTGTTAAAATAGAATTTTCTGTGCACAGTAGTTGGGAAAATGTACCATGGTAGCATGTGCAAGTGCCATGGTATTCATAGACGAGTCACTGTCAAAATGACAAATACCTTCAGCCAAATTATGCTATTAGTTTGGCTCAAGTGGGAAAATTTTGATATGCTCTGCTCTCCCAAAGATTGATGAACTTGTTGTCTTCTGTTTAGGGAAATCATTTGAGAGGAGGACCTCAGATGATACAGTTGAGTTTAGATGGGAAGAGGCTTTATGTTACAAACTCACTCTACAGCAAGTGGGACAACCAATTTTATGCTGAAATGGTGCAGAAAGGAGGCCACATGTTGCAGATTGATGTAGACACTGAGAAAGGTGGTCTTGCATTGAACTCAAGTTTTTTCGTGGATTTCGGAGCTGAACCTGATGGTCCATCCTTGGCTCATGAGATGAGATATCCTGGTGGTGACTGCACTTCAGACATTTGGATTTAAATCTCGAGTTTTTTCAGTAATAGGTGTCAGATGAGATTAGTCTTTCGTGGGTGAAATAATTGTACTTGTAAAACATAATACTGTAAATGTGATTCTGAGATTCCACTGTTTTAGCTTTTATCGAGTTTAATTTGGTTATAGCTAAAAATGAACAACCCAAATTGCATAATGAGACGTACCTGCGATTATGCTTTGTATCTGTCATGCTTCTTGTTCAATGATACATCAAATAGAAACAAACTAGGTCTTACAGCGAGATCACTGTAGATTGTCTTTTTCTTTCTCTCTTCTATAGAAATAGGGGATGATACATGGGACCATTTAGTTAACGAGATGAAGGCTAAACCCATATTTTGTAACTTCTTATCGATTTCATGTCGATTTAGTAGATCGCATTAAGAATTGCTTACCCTACTTGATGAAGTGATGCAGCCAATACAGGTTTATTTCATGAACTAGCTGCAGCAACAGCAAGTTTTTATTCATTTTACTGGTTTTATAAATACTTTTCCAGATGGAAGTACGTTCAATATAGTATTAGGAATGAGGATTGAAAAAAAGAACTCTTGGGTTCCACCTTAAAAACAGTCTTGGCCCGCCTGAATAGTAGTTATATTTCCTTGTACACTTTCTAAATTAAACTCACCTATTTTGCGGGTCAAGGAATCCACGTTGAAGTACTATTGAAGCAAAAGATATTTTTATCCTTGAGAAGCAAAAGACATGGATATGGATTGGACTTACTTAAAAGTTCTTTGACAATTTTAATGGTTATATCATTATTCAATACCATATTCAAACAAAATATTGTATGAGATAAGTCTGAAAGAACCATGGGATAAAGAGACATGAATTTTAATTTTTTTTTTTTTTCTTTCCAGCTGGTTGGGTATGGCTGGATGGATGGGGTTGTCCGATCTGATCAATATCGATTGATTGGTCTCTGAGGCTAGTCCAAGCTGCCTTATATCCTGTTTAAGAGTGGTTTGACAAGCTAAATTCTTTGCATAATCCAAGCTACCTTTAGTGGTTATCCTAATGATGATCGCCCTATGATTATTTTAAGGTTGTAGATTCTTTTAATAAAAATAAAAAATAAAATTCCGGTGGGGTTAACGGGCAGATGACCATGACATTTGCTGGTTCAGGTAACTCTAGATTAGATTAGCAAATCAGGACCAAGTAACATTACTCAAAATCAAAAGCTTTGGGTGATATGGGGTTCTTCCATTTCAAGGGGCTTCAGGATGGCTCAATTAAGCAGGCAATGTTGGAGGCTAGTCTCTAATGCTAATGCTTACAGGCAAGAATGATAAGAGCCATTCAATGTCCCTGCTGGACATTGAGCTTCATGAAAAGCTAAGTTCCCGAGTCCCACTTGAGCTTGGGGAAGCTTGCTTGAAGGCAGAAGAATCACAGGGAAAGGGCTCACATAGTACCACCGCAGGTTCATTGTGGAAAATGTAGGTGTTACATGAGCTGATAAGTGGATGTCTTCTCTGATAAAGAAATCAAAGCCTTCTCTCATAAGTCATAACCCCTAAGATTGCAGCCTTAGCCTTTGAAAGTAAGTATCCCCAAACCATCCAAAAGTTGGAATGCTACTTTGGTCAAGAATTTATGCTCATTCTGAAGCCGAAGAGGGTATTAGCCTTCTTTTTTTTTTTGAAATGAAAGCAAGGTTGTCTACCACATACTTCAAAGTATCGACAGATATTGACACCTGGTATAATATCGTGCCCAATGTGTCTCAATGTTCTCCAAGATGACTGACGGTCAATAGGAGAAGTTTTGTTGCATAATGGACCAATGGGAGAAGGTCTACCTCCCAAACTCCACTATGGATGAGAGTCCTGGCACTGATAACTTTCATTTACAAGGTGAGGCATTCTATTGATCCTGCAGGAGCTCAAGACGTACCAGATAAGCTAATTTGGTGGGAAAGAGTTCACTTCCTGAAATCAAGAAATGATACAGGCAAGGTGGAAACACAGAAAGAGAGAATTTAAAGAACCCAGAATTTATGTAACAGGAAATGCAAGGACAACCTATGCTCCAGTGGTAGAAATGGGCAATAGAACAAGAAACAATAAATATTATAGAATAAACCTTTCCCTCAAATCCAAACTACTTGTGGCCCGACTCACCTCGAAGAACCCATGTCCAGCAGGTGAACAGTCCCAGGTTTATATACTCAAATGGCTTCAAACTATGCACACTTCTCTCCCTCTCCTTCTCTGAGAGATATTCAGATTTGTAAATTTTAGTATTTGATTTAATGGTCGGTCATATGGATTTTAGAGGGGCTTTTTTCATTGAAAAAAGGATTATTTTTTGAAATTTTTTCTTGAGTAATAAAACTTGATTTTGGCTTGAATTCAACTTGACTGCTCACAAGACTCCGTTGATCTAAGCTTGAGCAAGAACTAAAACTTGGTAGTTAAGCTCTACTCAAGATCAACCAATCACAACACAATTGAGTTCAAGCATTTTGACAAGCTTAATTTGATTTACAGCTTTATAATCCTTCCCGTTGAACTTGTCTTCTTAGGTGGAAAAGATAAGTTTTTTGGGCAATTGGATATCATAATATAGATGATTTTGGAAAAATTGAGTGATTAAACCTTAGACTTCAAGTTTGGTAAATATAGATGGAAGAATAAGTGAATAAGAAGATGATCGCCAGCAAAGTTTTGAGATTCTTTCCAGGTTAACTTGTTTAGAATGCCCACAACAGCCTCCTTGGACATCACTTCTTCTCGCTGACAGTTGAATATACCATTTATCCAGAAGTCTTAGTGGCTGAAAACAATATACATAGGTTGCTCAGGAAATGAGGTGAAATGTATTAAAACAGAATGCCACATGTAAAGTGGGTACAGAACAGTTAAAGAAAGGCAAAACTTACTGTAGACTCTCTGTAAGCATGCAGATGATGTGCAAAAACATCTTTCAAATTACTGTTGGATTTTTATGCTTGAACTGATCTCCAATGCTAGTCAGATATGCCAAGAAGGAATTAAAAATACACAACCAACATTCCACAATTACCAAAAATCGCAGCATGAACATTTCCCATCATTAAAGTGGTGAAATCTGCTGGCATCCCGCACAACAATTTCCCTTTCAACAATGCTGGAAATGAGTTTTAGAACTGTGTGGCAATCTCCACAAACACGGAGATTTTTTACAATGCGTATGACTGTCCCAGGAACAGCCTTAAGCAACCCATAAGCCACAGCTAGCCTCTCACTATGCCAAAAGAGCTGCCTTTCCCTCTCTTGCAGCTCCATGTCATGTAAAACCGAACTAGTATCAGGAACATAACCTCTTCGCCTCATCTCTGCATCCAACTCATTCAGCAAACCAAAAATTTCATCCTTCATATGATGTGTTGTCTCCCCTGCATAAAATACTTCACTCTCCTTTCCCAAACAAATGCAACTATAACCAGGTTCCTTCTTGACTTCCATAACTACCATCAACTTCCGCACTTTAGATACATTTTCCCACAAAGCAGCCCCTGCGTAAGTATTAGATAACAATACAAATGTTGAAGGATCCTCTGGTTCCAAGGTCATTAGATGATCAGCTACCCTAATTCCCATTTTGGTTTTCCCATGCCGCTTACAAGCACTTAATAAAGCAGCCCAAGCAGCTTCATCAGGTTTTAATGGCATTGTGTTGAGGAGATTCTCAGCCTCTTCAAGGTGTCCAGATCTACTAAAAAGGTCCAACAAGCATGTATAATGCTGAAGAGAAGGATATAATCCATAATCATTGATCATGGATTTGAAAAGATATCGACCTTTGCTGACTAACCCAACATGACTACAAGCATAAATTAGTCCAACAAATGTCACTTCATTAGGCTTTTGACCAGCCAAAATCATCTCATCATATAGTGACAAGGCTTCCTTGGCTCGCCCATGCTGGGCCATCCCAACTATAATTGAAGTCCAAGAAACCACATCTTTTCTCTGCATACAACAAAAAATGCTCCTTGCAGCTAATAAATCACTACATTTTGCATACATATCGACCATTGCATTACTAACAAACAAGCTAGATTCATAACCAAGAATTAAAACCAAGCAATGGATCTGTTTCCCTAGCTCCAATGACGCTAAATTAGCAGAAGCTCCAATAATGCTTGAAAGAATAAACGGGTCTACGATATCAACTCCTTCTCTTTTCAATTCAATAAAGAGACTAAATGCATCAATCCCATGTCCACTTTGTACCAACCCAGAAACCAAAGCAGTCCAAGAAAACAAATTCTTCTCGGGCATACCCATTAAAAGCTCAATTGCTTCATTTTTTCTCCCACAACGGGCATACCCAGATATAATAGCCGTCCAAGAAACCGAATTTTTCCAGGAGATTGAGTCAAAAACCAATCTTGCAGTATCAACTGATCCACATTTTGTATACATGTCAACAAGGGATGATTTAACAATATCATCATCCGAAAATGGTGACAATACAAACAGGGCATGCACTTGCTTGCCTATTCTCAAAGCACCCAAGTTAGCACAAGCCTTAACAAGGGTTGCAATGACAAAATGGTCTGGCTGCAACCCATCAAGAGCCAACATGTCGGGGAACATGGACAGGCTTCTGTGGGGAAAGTTGGCTTGGTTGTGGGCGGTGAGAATCGAAGCCCATGAAACTGGGTCTCTGTGGGGAATTTCGCCGAACATTTTGAGCGCGTCTTGGATGAGACTACATTTGCCATACATATCTATGACATTGTTCGGAAGGGGCATGTATTGGTGTAGGCCGGTTTTGATGATATGTGCATGGAGTTTCTTGCCTTGTGATGGAAGTTGGCGTCTTGCACATAGTTGGAGTTGATGAAGAATGTTTGAGCAATGCATTCATCACCCTTACAGACTTCGATTCAAAAAAATAAAATAAAAAAAGAATGTTAAATAATTGACAAAATGCCCCCCCCCCCCCCCCCCCCCCCCCCCCC